GCTCTGTGGACAATTTGGGAAGAAAGAAATGCGAGGATATTCCAAGAGGAGAGAAATGTTCAGAATGTAAAGGATTGTATTTTGACCTGGGCAATCCACTGGCTGAGATCATTCGATTCCTTCAAATCATACTATTTTGATGACATGTGGAGGAACTGGAGGGCTGTGGCTAGCAGCAGTAACAGAAAGAAMAGGGTACTAGATGTGTGGGTACCCCCTTCAGAAGACTGGACAAAGCTGAATTTTGATGGTAGCAGCCAAGGAAATCTGGGGCCTTCAGGGATTGGTGGGGTGCTGAGAGATAAAGATAGTAACATTCTAGCTTTGTTCTCAGGCTCTGTGGGTATTGGAGACTCTGTCAAAGCTGAGCTCCTAGCAGCAGTACAAGGCATTCAGGTTGTGGATCAGTTGGGAGTTCAGAATTTGATTATTGAAGGAGACTCCAAAGTTGTTGTGAATTGGCTAAAAAATCCAGATTCAGTGATCTGGTGCTACAGGGGTATTATGAGGAAAGCTAAATGGTTCTCAAGGAACATGAATGTCATTTTTCAGTGGGTGGGTGGAACAGCTAACACCAATAGCGGATGGGTTAGCTAAACAAGGGGTATCAAGGGAACAGTTATTCTGGGCAGCTTTGTAAATTTTTTGTTACTAGTCTGAGGTAGTACATTGTTGCTATTGTGGAGAGGTACCAGCTCGTGCCCCTCCTTTGGGAAGGCTGTATTGTAACATCCTATTGATTTTATTGAATAAAATTTTAATCATTTATCAAAAAAAATACCACCTATCATGTGGCTGCCAGGATGACACCCTTTCGTGCCTTACACGGTCAAGATCTTCCCACTCTATTACCCTATGAAAGGGGTTCATCTCCAATCACATCCTTGGAAGAATTTCTGATGCAGAGAGATGCTACTTTACAAGAGCTCAAACATAACCTGAACCGGGCACAACAGTGGATGAAGAACTCATATGATAAGTGTTGGAATGCTCGAGTCAGGGGTATTTTGGTCATTYYGGWKTATCTKMTTGARAGTGAAAGGTCTATTGTATCTGAGTTTAAGTTATGTGTCCCATCTTCTATGAGGGACAAAATTGTCTTTCTTGTAACTTTAAGTTTTATGAATAAAATTCAA